CCAGTTCAGATGTAAATACAAAATGTTTCCATGTACGTTGCCAGAGCAGACGAACAGAAGAAGTTAAATAGAAGAGACAATTGAAGAAATACAACCACTGTACAATGATAATACGGTCTACGGTGTTTATTGGAAAACACAGGACTAATACCAATGACAGGGAGCTGGTGTGCTCTATTAGGAGTCAAGATGAGAAACTGAAGATTTTAGGCCTTTTCACGCTATCTCCATTTCGAACCGTGTTGAAACCAAGCCGGATCCAATCCAGTTCGGTCCCAGTTGTTTTTGACCCAGATCGGAGACACAAAGTTCACACTTTTCTTTACGGGAACGGCCGCTGCGTGAACCGTGTAACATTCAATCCGGCTACGGCCTCTGTGTATTCAAACTAAATAATTCTAAACACGGATCGCATTCGGCACGGGCGCTGCGATGATTTTCTCAATCCCATAATGTACTGCGACGCACGCAGCTGCGCACACGAGGCCAGCTTTGACAGGCCGGTGTCACGGTCTCACTTCTCCGGCGTGCCAGCTTCTCCGGGTGGATTTGGCGGATAATTGAGCACGTTACAGTGCACGTTACATGGGCACTATTCATACTCATGTGTCCGCTGTGCTAGCTTTTCCTCGGGCTGTATTGCTGTTGTTGTAGAGTCTACTCTGTCCATATACAGACAATGAGGGACACCCAAGAATGCGTTATGTAACACTTCCTGTACTGGGTCACTGAAGTTGTGTTCCCATCGTCATTGCGTGTGCATTGAGGAAAAATTAAGAAGCGTGTTCCTTGCTCGGTAGTGGTCCATCACATGCATGTCCAATATGCAACCACGTTCAACCACGGTTTAAAATAAATGTGCTTCCTTCAAGTCTTTTTGGTTATTAGGATGTTGGGAGTTAATTGCGCGCCCCACCATGCCTAGGTCTGGATTCGATGGTACCCTGTGACGTATACATACCATCCTAACTTCTTACGTGCACCAGTGCAGTACAACCCCAAAGAACTCAGCACACACATAAAGTTGACGAAAGTGAACACTACTGCGCAATTTTTTGCATGCATGTTGAAGCGAAATTTCCAACTTGGAGAAGCTAGCACGCTGGAGAAGTGAGACCGTGACACCGGTGTGCAGCATGAATTTACTACTCTGTGAAATACAGACTCATTGGTAGTATTGCACATGCCTAAGTATGATAATTGGAGAAGGACCTGTCACGTGAGAGGGCTTGACCAATAAGGGAGTAAAGGAATCCGATTTTCATGGGAGTCCGATTTCCACGTATGACACCAGCGCAGCTGTGTGCAATATTTCCAAAATAGCACCGGTTATTCCGTCAATGATTCGTTCTATTTAACGTTAGAAATGTACTTGTTGGGGGTACATTTTCCAGACCTAATACAAGCCCAGACTCGGTAAAGGATGCTCTAAACTCCGATACATTATTGGATTATTATCAGGGAGTGATTTTTTCGTGATTGGTGTTTGTGATGGCGATGACGGTGTGGGGAAATATGCAAGGCATGTCAGATTTTCGGTAGAATGTCAGCCTCAACTCAACACGGATCGGCAGCGAGTGACTCAACTCAGGGTGGTTCACAGTATCATTTTCGACACGGTTCAGGCCAAAAAATGCAATTTCGATCTGGGTTGCGATTTTCAACCCTAGTCCCTCCCAGGGTTGATTTTGATCCGGCTAGAGCATGCTACCCGGGTCAGAACCAGGTTGAAATTTGGGAAGTGGGAAAAGAGTTGAAAAAAATCTTGGGGTTGGAACCGGCCAACGGGGAGATTTAGGACAGTGTGAAAAGGCCTGTTGGGGGAGAGGGGCTGATTAAATACAATAATGAAGCATATGGATTGTGTTTGAGTTCATTTAACATGTGGCAGTAAATACTTGGAATCTACTGTAGGATGTGGTTTTAGGTCAGCTACGACCAAGCCCAGTGTAACCACACAAATGGAAACAGAGTGTCTGTGGGAACTGTCTGTGTGGACCACAAAGTAATTTGAAAGCATCATAAAGATGTCAACAGGGGAAGTTGGATATTCAGCCTTAATCGAAGAGAATGTAAATAAAATTAATTGAGTGATTAAAAGAGCCACTAGATGTAGACTACAATATTACCAGCTCTAGACCTGTGGATCCATTAAATATTAAACACTGTATTTGAAATTACTATGAGCACGTACTAAAACTCTACATAAGTGAAATCCGGGGACTGCAAATGACTGTACTCAACATCATGTGACATGGTCTGTGTTGATACAGAGGGGCGTATACATACAGTAGATCGCCATCTTTGTTCATTTCAACCATTGCCGTAAGTGACATCAGAATGGGCAGATAGTAATGGCTCATTTCATGTATACCTAAAGGTAAGATTTTTTTTGGTCGGTCCACTTTCTAAATATTGATGGAAAGCAAACAATGGACTTTCATCACCAGTAACACTATCTCATACCAACTACATGTAAACTGATTATTTACCAATTACATGTTAATGTAATTGAAAATCAGGCAGATCCATCAAACCGGTTGGAATATTACAAAGATATGGAATACAATCATGTAGTACACATGAATGTCCTTGTACCCATGACTAAAATAAGTGGCTTCTTGTTGGTACTTAGTCTTACAAAACTAGCTTTAGATCTATAAAAAGATTTGGTACAGGTGGTGCTTTGTGACAAAACAAATTACTAAATAAATTAACTGACAAATGATTTGATAGACTTTTTTTACAAAATAGTGCAACTTTCTTTAAAAACAAAGTGGACTTTTTTTCTGACAAGTGCACAATTTGAAAACAAGCCAGGTAAACTATTATTACTTTATTCTACGACAGTTATCTAGATACTCCCCTTCCCCAGGTTATGGGCCTGCAAAAGAAGAAACCGTGAGAGGTATAACTAGAGTGTACAATGTATGAACTGTCTATTATGATCAGCTTCATTAAGAGCTTAGTGCCGTCCTCATGAAGTAAATCACAAGTCATTCTATGTCAGGTCAACTCAGAAACTATTTTAACTAAAGGTGCCAAAGACATTCTTTGCAGTCAATGAAAACATGTTATTGACACAAGTTTTAGACTTACAATTAAATGTAAATTATAACAACCATATCATCAATTAAATAAAAGATACCTTTTTGGGACTTTGATCACAAGAACTCATATCAGGAGCTTGCGACACCATCACGGTGTCTTTGTCAACTGGTGTTGTTGAGGCCCTCACGTGACCCGTCACGTGACCAAGCGTGGTTGCGCGACAGGAGGCGGTCGTACACGTGGGCCAGCTCGTACCCTCCATCTCTGTTCATATGGGGGTGGTGTCTGCGGATTTCCACGGCCTCGCGGATTTTGCGTTTCCAGAGGTCGTCCTCCCTGGCGATGATCTTGACATTGTCCACGGAGATGCTATGTCCTGGGGTGGATATATGTTCACCAACTGCTGTCAGGGGGGCTGACCTACTGGTGTGTTCTCTGTATCGGGTCTGCAGAGTGCGAGCTGTTTCCCCGATGTATGTGTCTTCACAACCATCACACGACATCTGGTATACGAGGCCACATTTCTTGAGGTCTGGGGTCTTATCTTTCAGGCTGATCAAGTGGGAGTGAAGAGTGTTAAACGGTTTGTTTGCTACCGTGACACCGTGTTCACAAAACACACACTCCAGCTGTTCAGATAAACCTCGGATATATGGAAGAATGGCCATAGGCTGTTGCTTCGTATTGGTGGTCGCCTTGGAGGCAGCTCCAGTTGTTTGTTTCTTTTTAGGGATCTTGAATGCCCATGGTTGGTACCCGTTGGCAGTGAGAGCGTTTTTGACGTGGTGAAGTTCAGTCTCGCGGTCCTCCTCTTCTGTGATGACTTGGTCGATCCGGTGGCAAAGAGTGCGAACCACGGACCTCTTGTGTGCCAACCGCCTCCTGTCTCCCGACCGCCTCCTGTCGCGCGACCACGCTTGGTCACGTGACGTGTCACGAGAGGGCCTCAACAACACCAGTTGACAAAGACACCGTGATGGTGTCGCAAGCACCTGATATGAGTTCTTGTGATCAAAGTTTCAAAAAGGTATCTTTTATTTAATTGATATAATAATGGGACAGGAAATGAACTTCCATGCTCAACCATATCATCATTTGAAAATTCGAGTACATTTATTTAACTCCAAACCTTTTAATTTAATCTGCTTCATTTGCAGGTTAAAAGTTTGTCTACACCTATCACATCAAGCCCAACAGTGAAAATGGCATCTAATGTTACAGCTCAATCAGTGTTGGAGAAGATTAGTGTGGATCATCTGGAATGCTCCATCTGCACCAACCGTTTCAGGCAACCCAAACTGCTGGACTGTTTGCATAGTTTTTGCCTGCAATGCCTCCAAAAGCTCAGACAGAGCCAAGATCCTAGTGGTACAAAGCTGACATGTCCTCTGTGCAGACGTGAAACCATGTTGAAAGGGTCTGGGGTTGCTGATCTCCCTAATAACTTTGCATTCAGTGCCCTGGTCGATGAAGTTACAATGCAGGAAAAGCTACTGGAAGGTCAAGGGTCAGGGATCAAATGTCAAGCCTGTGATGAGGAGAATAAGGCCACTTCAAGATGCATGAACTGTGATCATTTCCTCTGTCAAGAATGTCAAAAGGCTCATGGGCGTATGACTGTCATGAAATCTCATAAAATCTACACACTGGCTCAACTTCGATCAGGAGAGATTGTCTACAAGAGTAAACTAAGAGAAGAAGTTCCCAAATGCAGCAAGCATCCAGAGCAGAATCTCGATGTCTACTGTAATACATGTGAGCAAGTCATATGTCTCGCATGTACTATTCTTGATCATGGGAATCCAAAACATTCCCTCATCGGCCTATCTGAGGCTTTCAAAAAGTGTAAGAAAAAAGTTGAAGAACTTGTCTCAAAAGTTAATAAGAACAAAACAGAACTGAACACCACCATAGAGAAGACTTGCATTACTCGCAAGAAACTTGACATCATGTTTGCAAACACCAAAAAGAAAATCTCAGAAAAAGCTGACCAAGAGATTGCCACGATCCGGCAGAAGGAGCAAAGACTGTTAGAAGAGACTGACAGGATTTACCAAGAGAGAATCACAACGTTTGATGCAGCTCAAGCTAACAACAGGAAAGAGGTGACACAGACAGAGCACAAGCTGGAGGAGGTTAAACAACTCATGAATCAAGCAAGTTGCTATGAGATTCTTGAACTTCAGCAGAAGCTCTTGCATAACCTCAGTGAATTGACAGGAAAACATCCAAAGCAAGTTTCTGACCAGTTGACCTTCATGGATTTTGAAGAAGATGAGAGGTCACTTGGGAGACTCATTCTGGAAGAAGAGCCAAAGGCTGCAGCAAAGCAATCACCAAGACCTAGAAGATCATGTGTGATGGAGAAATGGAAACTGAAGACTGAAGTCAAGAACTTTGAATTAACAAATGCATTGATAGCACATGTTACAGCACTCTCTAACAATAAACTACTGGCACTCTATGAATCAAAATTCTTGTTTGCAAATACCAGTATTCCTGCCATCTTTACAGTCTCATTGCCCAACAGTCAACCTGAGCCATCTCCTATACCACAAATGCTGCAAATAAACGGCCTCAGTGATGATGTAAGGTGCATTGCAGTCAGCAAGGATGACAAGCTCCTTGTTCTAGATGGTCCAGTGGTCAAGGTTTTTAACAAGCAACATCAGCTCCTCCATCAGTTCACACCAGGTAGAGGGTCAGACAGCCAACCAACATGCCTTGCAGTGGATGACTGTAATCTGATAGCAGTGGGTTACAGAGGCAAGAATGAGATATCTCTACACAACCCAGAAGGATCCCTCATCAGGAGACTGCCTGCTCCAATGATTGGATATTATCTGACAATGTACAATCACCACCTTCTCTACACAAATCAGCCTAACAGAAGGTTGGTATCCCTAGACTACTATGGTACCAGTGTATTCTCAGTAGACATGACCAGCAACATGCAGGTGGGTTACTACCCTAACGGTGTGAGCTGTGACAGTGATGACAGCATCTATGTTGCTGTGTATGGATATCAAACAGGTGATATTCTGCATTACAGTCCTGATGGCAAGTACATTGGATGTGTGATCAAGGGATGTGGTTCTCCACATGGCATCACATTCACATCAAATGGTGATCTGTCAGTGGCTGCAGGAGAAACTGTAAATGTCTATCACCGAGTGTAAGGACAGAACAATTACACTGCGGGGAAAAAAAAATTCTACACCAAAGGAAATTTGCTTGGTAAAACAAACCAACAACACTGAAAAAAAAACATCCAGAATTTATCCAAAATACCTGATGCCTATTTTCACATCTTAAAGATTCATGAAAGCAAATGGAATTATCTGTTTTGCCTCAGTAGAACACCACTTTATGGAATACCCACACAAGTTAAACATAATTACACATTGTTAACTGTGAGCAATCTCTGGAAAACCACTGAAAGAAAGGAAGAATACACATTTTCTTTCTCAAGAAACACCAGGAAATAAAACAACAAGAAGACATTTACATGTAATATTCTCAGAATTTCAGCAAACACAAAGACAATTGTCATGTGTTTACCAAGTGTTAAATTTAACCATGTTCCCTCTCTGAAAAATAAAATGTTCACACATTTTCTACTTAATTTTTGCAATTCATGTGAAAAGGATGCTCATAGTTTTACTGAATATTATAAAATTTAAATGAATGCAAACAAAAATTTGAAGCTACATGAAACAAAAGTAAATACCTAGAAGCAACTGGATATATGTGAATAATCCATTTTTAACCAAACATACAGTGAATTTTAAGGTTAAAATATTTATGATCCCATTCCATATTTAGTCACAGTGATTATGAGTGTCATCTCAAATTCATATTAGTTTCTTTAAATTTACATTTCAGTTGAAAATAAAAACCTTTGATATTTAATGCAAGTTGTATCCTTTTGGTAATTGACATATGTATGTACTTGTAGATGTAGTTAGTAATATGGTTGCATGTTTGTAAATTGAAAAACAATTTTTTGCCTTTCTTCAATGTGAATGTTTGTGAATATTACAAACTAGAAGATACACTTAGAACAATCTTTTAATTTTGGGTCCTTTGTTTTCCAGTTTCTATACATCTGCCATCTACTTTATGTGCGTATGCTTCCTCCAGGAGCGCTTATTTGAATCAAACAGCCTCTAAACAAATACAATTGTTAGTTGGAATACTTGTAACTTGCCAAATTTTTCGAATGACACATCATGACATGATGATGGCAGATTATAATGTACAGCAGTAACAACAGGACAAATGTCAGACTTTGGACCCTAAATGTATATAATGACCTAGTTGTGAAAGGTTCCGTATCATAACAGTTACCGGTAGTAGCTAATGTTAATTTTATAAATAATAGAGATGTTCGGTCTTTAAAAGGAATATACAACATTTGCAAACATTGAAAAATAAAACTACCAAGTTTTTACGAAATACCTTACTAGGACGTTGGTAAATGGCAGTCTAAAGCATCCTGTAAAATTATGGCAGCTGGTGTCAAGTCATTTTCAGGAAAATGGTATTTTTTTATAAATTTCTAACGGTGGTCGGCCGACCACCATTGGAAAAACCTAACTATTTTTCAACTACTGCTCCAAATTTACAATTTTTTTTTCAGTCCAAATTTTGTTTGGTATTGGTTACATGTTCATGAACGGGTGCAGGCCAGCTAGACTGGTTTCCTTATCTTACAATTTTCCGACATCTATAATTGATCCATTTTATCTTAAGTGGAGTCAGGGAGCCAGACTACATAAACAGTTGTGCTTTTCTTGGTTTTTCAAGCATTTTTGAACACAAAACTTCAAACATGTCAATTAAACGATATTTGATCTATTATACTAACCCCTCAAATAGTTAATTTCTGAAAAGCCAATGATGTACATTCCCTTTAAATAACTAATTTTCTCTTGGCTTGGTTGCTTTAGTAAATTAAGATTGAAAAAGAGGGAATTTAAAGAGGGAATTGCATTTATGCAAATTATGAGGTTGGCACCTGGCCTATCAACAGCTTTGAATCAATGTAATTCACGCCTCTGGTGTCACAACAAATTGAATTTATAACTCGCAATATTTATTTGGTCTAACACACCTCTGCTTCTTCTCAGAACTCACTCACTTTTTAGAGACAGTCAATTCACATGGTGTATCTGTAAACTTGTAAGTTAATTGTACCTTCACCGTGCAAGTCTCCTATCACACTAGTCCCATTATAACTGGGGCGCTAGAACTCCTTTTTTGACATTTGGGATGTTGGTCTGTCGTACTAGCGTCCCACAACGGAAATATTGTCAAAGTGACAATTTTAAAGTTCACAACAAAAATCACGCAAAACACTTGACAAAAATACCCTTGAAAGCACCTACTGGCATTTCCACACGTCAAAGACGAAGTAATGGGGCTTCGATAATACTCACAAATATTGTTTGGGTTCAGGCCCGTCAGATTTTTTTCTAATGTCCTGGTGGCGTAACAAGTTCATTTTTATTGGGGAGTAAAAAGTTCATGAAAAGAGCACTCGCCATGAAATGTAGATTTTTTTCTGTGAACACTTGGCCTACGTAAAATCATAAAGGGGGGGGGGGGCCAAATCTGATGATCATGCACACTATTGGACAACAGTGCGAAAATACCCCTCTTACCAACGCCTCGGTGTGTGATTGTTTCAAACAGGCAAACATATTATAGGTAATAATTATTACTATAATTGTCATAATGTGGTTTTTTTTTTTTTGGGGGGGGGGAGAGGGGACGCCCTACTTTTGGGCAGATGCAACCCTCTTTTAATACATGGCTGTTATTGTGAAATAATTTTATGCACAAACATATACATAATGCAAGAAGACTCCTTCCTCGCATTTTCATTAACGATCCTGATTTGGGGCAGCTAGATACCAGTTGAATATGTGAGAAGTGAATTAGTTTCTGAAGGTAATTATTCCATAACTGAATAGGGGGAAGAGCGGGGAGCAATTTGCTCAGTCTGATGTCTCATTCAGAAATAAGTAAAATGTATTTGCTAGGAAACATTAGTCTTTAGGTAAAAAAAAATAGCACTGACAGGTCATCTTTAAACGTGTGTTTGAAAACATGAATTCCTGTTGCTACAAAATGAGCTGAAAGCAGTTTGAATAAAGTTGCAATTTTGTTCAAAGAATTTTACTTGTGTCAAATCTGCACACTTTGTTTCAAAAATGATGGGTTTTTTTTGGGGGGGGAACTAGACAAGTTATGATATAAAGAAATATCTAAATAAAAAAAACCACATCAGCCTTAATATACCAGCAGTAATCTGATTTGAAATTTCCTTTCCCTGGGAAATTCAGAAAATTTGAATTTTTTTCTCCTTATAAACTTCCAATTTTGTCTATTGTATCCTATAACTCTCGCTACCCCCATCCCAAAAAATAAAACCACTTTTTATTTTGCATATGCTACCCTCTTCAGAAAGCTTTTCTGCTGGATTGTTTTTGTAAGCTCTTATCACGGAAAAATAAAACAAAATACACTCCTCAATACCTTCACGGGCCTGAAAAATTACCAGGTGACAATTGACAAATTATAATATATATAATAATAAATTAAAATATTCCATAACTATGTGAGCCAATTCTTTTGGGGCAGTGTTTTATTCAAAAGTGAGCAAATTGATTACTATAGGAAAAATATTATTGAAACCAAACATTTTTTCAAGCTGAAATTTGAAAATCACCTGGGCTGATCACTCCAAAAATAGCACTGGTGACTTCTGATTCTATTTTTGTGGGGCACCGGGGTCATGCTAACACTGACATACTGGGAACCTGCATTGATGTGTGCATAAATTACCAGTACAGTACAAGTATACACCTACACAGACTCCAATAGCTTCTAAAAATAGAACTGGGAATTCACGCACTGTGTGTAATGATTGAGACATTCATGTACATGTACATGTACATAGTGTATTGTATTCACATCCAACGCTGTGTAAACTTCAAACACTGTGCCGTTTTTCAGACGGATACATGCAGTTTCAAATTTTCTGCTAAAACTAACAAAATAACTTCCATTCAGGTAAGTGCATTTTATGTTGTACTGAAATTTCATGGCATTTGTCAAGAATCATGATATAATATGCCAGTATGTGCATGGATCTTACCAAGAGCATATTGTCCGAATGTTCGAATGCAATACATGTATGCTCTTTGCAAAACACTTCCCTGATGATCAGTCTACCTTGAGAGGATACTACAAATATTCCTGATCCTACATTTGAATCTCAACATACATTTGAATATGAAAGTTCAAAAGTTAAACAAAGAACTTGATAAAGTGGGGTTTGAACTGATGGCAAAGTGTTATTTAAATACTGTACTGACACTCTACCAACTGAGCTATCCTGGACCAGGGCCTACAATGTTGGTAGTTCCCAATTTGAAATAGTCTTTGTTCAAGGGGCACTACAGCGTCCTAAAATACCCGCAGTCCCACAACATATTTTGCAAAGGTGTAGCGTCACCATGGAAGCACGTACTGCCATTATTTTTAATTTTATACCATTTAAAAGCTTAGAATCTTTACTTGATCCCTAGTAAGAATTGGTTTGGTTTTCAAAAGGGTTTGAAATTATTCAAAAATAAACACAACCGATTTCAAGGAAAATAAATTATGAACATTTAAATGTGGAATGCTTCATCATGTTCACGATGTGAGGATCTCGTTGCCTGTTTACTTTCTGCATTTCCTTTTCATTTTGATCCAAGTAGACTACACCTTAAAAAAAATTCAAAACAGTGTTCTTTAGGCCAAAAAAAAAAGTCTCCGGTTTCTGGTATGGAGGTTGCCCAAAAAGTGATGCGGCGAAGCGGCTTTTTTTGTTTTTTTTACCTGATTTTTTGCTTCAAATGTGTGCTGATGAATGCAAATGGTGCCCGACTAAACTTAGTGTAAATATATGGGAGTCCAGAGAGGCCACATAAAGCTTATTCTCGACCATAACCCAATCTAAAATCACGTTAAAATTGTGCAGCAGCAGTATTCCAGTCAAACCAGTGAGTTTGGCGGTTTGGGGACATCATCTTTCATTTGCCGACGCGCATGGCTACGGCGATGCGTGCGCATACCAGAAACCGGAGACTTTTTTTTTTTGCCTTATCTGAAGTTCAATGTGTTTTTAATATAAATAAACTCGTTATTTTTTAACATTTGCTTTTGCTGTAATTTTCAGAAATGGATGAATTTGAGGTGTTAGCATTTTATAGCAAATATTGTTACGCTGACAATGTGTTCAAAGATGCTGGAAAAACCAAGCAAAACAATCATGTTCTTGAAGGATGACCCCGCTTAAGATTGAACGGAGCAAATTATAGATGTTGGGGAATGGCAAGTCAGGGAACCAGTCTAGCTGGCTTGCACTCGTTCATGGATGTGTAATCGATTGCAAACAAACTTAAAATGCAGAATAACTAAACTGGGGGTGCATTTTAAAAAAAAACACAGTTTTTTTTCCCATCCTGGTCAGCAGACCAGCGTTTGAAATTGATACAAAATACCACTTTTCTTGACAATATCAGCACATCAGGTGCCATGATTTTACATGATGCTTTAGACTGTCATTCACTAACAGTTCAGCAAGGCCACATTAAATCTTAAAACATGTTAAGCATTCTGCCTTTTGAAAAAAAGGAAGGAGGAGGCCCTTTTTTTCCAAAATGGCTGCCTGACCAATTTTCTAAAACGACCGGCCGGGCTATTTTTTCAGCCAACCAGCAAGCTTTTCTTTTTAAATGGCCGCCACTTGGACTCAGGAAATGACATACCAGCTTTATATGGGCTAGATGCAACAGATTTACAATTTATAATTAAAAAAGAAAAGAAAAAAAGGAAGCGGCCTCTAAAATGGAAACGGGTGGGAATGCTTAGCATCATTTTTTTTTTATTTCAAAACAATTTTGGTAGTTTTGTTTTTTAATGTTTGCAAATGTTGTTTATTCCTATAAACTTTTCTTTTTGCTTTATTTGAACACAAATAATTTGAGAACCCTTTTGAATATCAAACCAATACTTGCCAGGGGTAAAGTTGGGATTCCAAGTTTTAAAAGGCATAACAATGATGGTAGTACGTGCTTCCATGCTGACGCTAGAGCCACGTTGCGGTTGCGGGTATTTTGGGACGTGCTGTAGTCAAAACATTGGAGTTATGTCAATGTATTGAATTAATTACAGAATACATATACCCCAAAACTGTGGAAACAAACATGTTGACAATGTTGGAAATGATTTGTAGGATCATTTTATGTATTGAAGTCAACCTTTGACACTTTCATCCATTCATAGGTTACAAATAAATCCCGATTCTTCAAGAAGTCAAGATGGCATCTAGTGTTACAGCTCAATCAGTGTTGGAGAAGATTAGTGTGGATCATCTGGAATGCTCCATCTGCACCAACCGTTTCAGGCAGCCCAAACTGCTGGACTGTTTGCATAGTTTTTGCCTACAATGCCTCCAAGAGCTCAGACAGAGCCAAGATCCTAGTGGCACAAAGCTGACATGTCCTCTGTGCAGATGTGAAACCATGTTGAAAGGGTCTGGGGTTGCTGATCTCCCTAATAACTTTGCATTCCGTGCCCTGGTGGAGGAAGTTGCAATGCAGGAAAAGCTGCTGGAAGGTCAAGGGTCAGACATCAAATGTCAAAACTGTGATGAGGATAAACGGGCCATTTCGAGATGCATGGACTGTAATAATTTTCTGTGTCAAGAATGTCAAAAGGCTCATGAACGTATGACTTTCATGAAATCTCATAAAATCTACACACTGACTCAACTTCGATCAGGAGAGATTGTCTACAAGAGTAAACTAAGAGAAGAAGTTCCCAAGTGTTGCAAGCATCCAGATCAGAATCTCAATGTCTACTGCAACTCATGTGAGCAAGTCATATGCACAACTTGCTCTGTGCTTGATCATGCAAAACACTCACTTACTGGATTACCTGAGGCAGTAGAAAAATGTAAGAAGAAGGTCACAGAAATGGTCCAAAAAAGTGAGAGCAGAACAAAAGAATTGGGCACCACCATAGAAGAGACATGCAAATCTCAAAAAGAGCTGGAAACCATGTTTGCCAAAACTCAAAAGAAAATCTCCAAAAAGGCTCAACAGGAGATTACAAAGCTCCAACAGGAGATTACAAAGCTCAAACACGAGGTTGCAAAGATCCAAGAGGAGATTACAAAGGTCCAAAAGGAAGAAAAGAAACTGTTAAAAGAGACAGGCATGATTTATAAAGACAAACTCAAAGCTTTTGAAGCTGTTCAAGCAACCAACAGGAAAGAGGTGACACAGACAGAGCACAAGCTGGAGGAGGTCAAACAACTCGTGAATCAAGCAAGTTGCTATGAGATTCTTGAACTTCAACAGAAGCTCTTGCATAACCTCAGTGAATTGACAGGGAGACAGCCACAGCAAGTTCCTGACAATTTGACCTTCATGGACTTTGAAGAAGGTGATAAGTCACTTGGAAGACTCATTTTGGAGGAAGAGCCACAGGCTGCAGCAAAGCAATCACCAAGACCTGGAAGATCATGTGTGAAGGAGAAATGGGAACTGAAGACCGATGTCAAGAACTTTGGATTAACACATACATTGATAGCACAGATTGCAGCACTCTCTGACAATAAAATACTTGTACTATCTGAAAAATATTCAGCAAAAGGAAAGAGTGGTGTACTATTTACAGCATCAATTCCCCCTAGTCATCAGAAACCATCTCCTATCCCACAAAGGCTACAAATCTATGGCCTCACTGATGATGTCAGGTGTATTGCAGTGAGCAAGGATGACAAGCTCCTTGTTCTAGATGGTCGAGTAGTCAAGGTCTTCAACAAGCAACATCAGCTCCTCCATCAGTTCACACCAGGTAGAGGGTACAGCCAACCAACATGCCTTGCAGTGGATGACAGCAATCTGATAGCAGTGGGTTATGCTGGCAAGAAGGAGATATCTCTACACAACCCAGATGGATCCCTCATCAGGAGACTGCCTGCTCCAATGATTGGAGGTTATCTGACAATGTACAATCAGTGCCTTATCTACACAATCTATGGCAACCGAAGCTTATTGTGTCCAGAGGACCAAAGGTTGGTATGTGTAGACTACTATGGTGCCAATGTATTCTCAGTAGACATGACCAGCAACATGCAGGAGGTTGGGCACCCTACTGGTGTGTGCTGTGACAATGATGGCAGCATCTATGTTGCTGTGCATAAAAAGGGGATATATCCAACAGGTGCTATTCTGCATTACAGTCCTGATGGCAAGTACATTGAATGTGCGATCAAGGACTGTGGTCTTCCAAATGGCATCACATTCACATCGGATAGTGATCTGGTAGTGGCTGCAGTAAAGTCAGTGAAAATCTATCATCAAAAAAACGCAACTTATTTTGAAATGAGAAAGATTTTGTACCTCCGTGCACATGAGACAAAAGTAATTACTCAAAAGCAACTGGATGAAATATGTGATTTTGAACTAAAGTGATAGTTTAAAAGTAAATCATATGCAATCCCTTGGTTGTCTCTTTCACAGTATTTTTTTCCGAGTGCCTCATCAAATTAATATTAATTTAATAACAAGCAACCGAGTTGAAAATAAGTAAGATTTGAGGCTTTGCATGGTGAAGATACTAAATAATGAAAGGTTTGCGGAAACACCATGTGCGAATAATTTCTCAACTAAGAGAATGGTTCTGAAAAGAACCAGAGGTATAAACTTGACGTTCCGGTCAGTATGCTCTGACCGTCTTCAGGAGACGGTCAGAGCATACTGACCGGAACGTCAAGTTTATACCTCAAGTTGAAAATGAAAACCTTGTGCATTCTACTGCAATGATACATGGATGTTTGTAATGGATGTGGTTGGTATGATGTACATTTGTAAATTGAAATATTTTTCCTCATATGTGATATGTGATATATTTTTTCTCATATGTGATATGTGCCTTTCTCATATCTACAATAGAAGATGCATTTAGAACATTCTATGAATTTGGGGTTCAGTTTTTCCTGTCCCTATACGTCTGACATCTACGATTTTGTAATCATGAGATGCACTCCTTTATGTGTGCATAATAGATGTTGTGTCTAGGTTTTACTAGATGTACATGACAACGGGTTTAAGAACCAATATAGAAGGCGCCTGCTGAATGATCTCAAGGTCAATTAGACGCAGTCTTGTTTTGCAGAATAATCGTCGAATCTCTCGGATATCATAGATCCTTGCTGTACAAGGGGATATTACATATATAGACTACCTTAGCACCCATCCCGCCTACAATTGAGAACAATTCACAATGCAGTGGGTGTGTGCCAACAAGCGTTTGCCTCAAGACCACAGAAATTCATGCAATTTTTTTAGACTTTTAAAGTTGTGAATTTTCGAAATATCACTGAGCCAAAGTTTTACCCCAAAGTCAGCTTGAATTCCTCCACAGGGTCTTGCTTGTCTATCTGTTTTTGCAGTGTGGTAATGGTGTTCGGTAGTGACTGACCCAATAAGCACCAACCTTAGCCGGTCTGGTGAGCATCATGTGTCACATCTCGGCGTCGCTGACCATGCGGTCTTGGTCCTTCTAGAGGGGGTGTTGGTGTCGGAACCCCAGGAGCTGGAATTATCATCATCGCTTTCGGGGACATGGGCCTGACCAGGGGGGAAGGATAAAACATCACATTTTACTAGTATAATACTGTAATAATGGTCATGCATGTTTATTTTTGTAAGCATTTTTTGCAGAGCTTTTAATGCAGTGTTCACATGTTTAAACATTTAGCCAACATTATACAAAGTCCGCTGCTGACAATGCCAAGGACTCATTTTATTATCTCCTGGATTGGAATCTCCTTGTCATTCCTCGGCAGAGTAGTAACGATTAACTGTTTTTTGCGACTAGAGTCGAATTGAGTCATTTGAAGAAGTGACTCGAGTCGAGTCAAATAATTTTAAAGAAGGGACTCAAGTCTAGTTGAGTCAAGTTATTAGATCAAGAAGGTCGAATTGAGTCGAATCGAGTCGAGTCGAGTTAAATATTTAGCTTTAGCCAATTTGAGTCATGAATATTTGAACACTATAAAGACAAGAGAGAAAGTAATTTGTATCATAACAGTTTCAAGAAGTAAAACTTGGATCCCATCTGGTTTGGCTTAGGGTCTAGAATTGCATTTCGCTGATTGCTGACATCAAAACCTAATTGTGTTATTACAAAACTGTTTTTAATTAGATAAGAATGAAAAGTTTGCATGGTGAAGATAACAGCAGGGTAATAAGTTTGCGGTGGCACAATGTGAAATTATTCCCTTTTGCGAGTATGTGGTGGTTCTGTCCATGATCAGGAGACTTGAATAGAGTTAACCCCAGATTTCCCTCCCCAAAAAACCTGCAATCTGTCTACGACATGGCCGTTTGTTACGAATGTGACACAACAAGCAACTTACAAGTAGATTGTGTTCAGCCATGGGGAAAAGTGTCCTAAACTTCACAATCACACCAAAATAACAAAAACAATGGCTGTTTCAGCAAGTTGCCAAAACAGCCAATAGTTTAGGAGTCATCCAATTTAGAAACTATCCAAACAATTCCACTATATACAGTAAGCTGCATGAGATGCACAAAGCAATGGAAGTAAGGGCAATACTTCTAATTGATGAGCTCAAGTCTTCTAACCTGCAGTCCATCCAGCTTGCCCACCCAGCTGGTCTTCCTAGTCAGGCGACCTTCCCTCCAGGCTGGTAAGACGGAACACTGCATGATCTGGGCACTAGACGTGCAGACGATGACATAGCCTGATGCTTCGCAGCCTTTCGGCATGACTTGGCTGTTCTCCAGCTCAACTGATCACATCCAAAGCAAGACAGAGAAAATGTATTTTTGAAATGGAATTAGCATTGGGGAAGTAAAAATTTGTTACATCTTAGAAGTACCACCAACATTTTTATTTCCCTGCAATGTACATGAAGCCTTAAAGGGAATATACAACACTTGCAAACATCACAAACCCAAAACTACCAAATTATTATGAAAATTATACCTTACTGAACTGTCGTTTTCAAGAAGTGGTATTTTTTTTATCAATTTCCAACACCGGTCGGCCGACCAGCTGTAGGAAAAAATGGCATTTTTTTAAATACTGCCCCCAAGTTACCAATGAGAACTTTTTGATTTCTAACACAAGCCACATTGTTTAGGCCTGAACACTGAATGGCACTGTTTACCTGTGACTTGTTGTAGGTGTCATAGAGTCCCAGCACCGCATCTCTGTTGAACCTTGTCCATGAGACACGGATCTCATGCACCGTCTTGTGAATGAAATCCAAAAATGACAGAGCAATATTAAAAAAAATAAAGAAACAGTAAGTTATTAACAAAGCTGTTGGCAGTGTGTTGAAAGTTTTGTGGAATTGAACTAAATACTCTATTAATTTTGCAGTTGTTTTATTTTGAAATATGGGGTGAAACAAAGTGGATTTATATTTTCTGCTTTTTTATTGTATACTCTGATAGCAGGAGGTCATGGGTTCAAATCCAACCTGAGTAAGCATGTGATTGTTTTATCCAGAGCACTCTCAGATAGCACAGTGCTTATGAAATATAACGTTATTATAAAGAATAGTTGTGCCAGATAATGTTCTGGTGGAATTCTTGAAATGCTTCACATTGAAAAGGAAATTTATTTTGTATTTTCAGAAATGTCAGAAATCAAGGGCAATTATACCCTGGTCAATTGAATGTTTACTTTTGGAGAGAAAAAAATTTACAGGAAGAAAAGAAAATGGGAACCAAAATATGCTGAATTACAGTCGATGTTGTAGTGAGTCCATCACAAGTCCATAGTTCTTTTAATAGCAATGTCAATAATGTTTGAAAATTCCACAAGTGCAAACTCACTCCAAGATATTAATCATTGATTATATCTCCTCAAGTGCTGTTTGTGTTATTTCTATTCTGCAACCACATGCCCTCTTTAAGCTCAGATCAGATTAGTTCTGACCAAGATTTGATGGGTCATATAAGCCCAAGGCTTCAACTCGACCCTCAGTTACAAGCAAGATTACAAGCAAGATCACATGTCCTTTTATTACTAAATCACAAGTCTCTTACAAGTTCAGTCACAGGTAACAGGGGTTGAACAATAACAAAGGAATGCCAACACATTGTAAATGCATTGCAATACCACACATGTGTACATGATATGTATGTCTACTTTGAACTTACAATTCATACAATCATGTATCGAGCTATAGTATGGCGTTGAGGATTTATATTTCTGTCCTGTGAAGGGACGGAATGCCTGAGTTTGTTTTTCCGAAATAAGAAAAAAGCCTGACTTCAGGCTATATCCTGAAAACTTGCATCACTGCCCTGCACCCGATTTCACGAAGCGCTGCGACGCGTCGCAACTCGAGTTACGACGTGTAACATGTCCCAACTCGCGATGCGTCGTATCATCCATTTCACGAAAGTTGCGATGTGTTGAACGCGTCGTAAGTTCCTTGACAACGGCTTAAAACACGTCGCAAGTTACGACATGTCTAGTTGTCATCGCAAAATAAGAAGAGTCCCTTTCTTAGCCATTTTCATGCCATAAATATTACAAAAACGACATTATAATACCGAGGCAATATGTGTAAAGTTGTAAATAGAACATTCATTGAATATTTATGAATTACACTGGAATATTGCAGTTGAAATTTCAAAGTAGCTATACAGTCTACTGAGAGCTTGTTTTCCTTCAAAATTGCATCGCACGATCGCCATTTTGTTTTACGTTTTAACAAATTTTGAGCGGAGATCTGACGACTCTTTGTTGAATATCAGACGACTATTTACTGTACGCTGACTTAATACATAAAACAGTGACCGAGTTGTGCTATAAATACACCTACGACGTGTCGCACTAACGACGTGTTTTGTGAAATGGATCGCAGGACGCGTCGCAGCTGCGATGCATCGTAAGGATACGACGCGTCGCAGCGCTGCGATGCTTCGTTAGTTATGACGAGTTTTATGAAAACGGGTGCTGGCCTTCTTATGCAACCATATACAGATTTAAAATAGACTGACACCACATATTGATGTTGTGTTACCTGTTTATCAGTCTGTGATGTGTAGAGGTGGGCGTGGTTTGATCTCTCTAATCTCAGCATTCATCTCAGCAATGGACCAATCAGCCTACGGAAGGCACAAAATATGAATGAATATTTAAATTTAGTGCTGCATGAACTTAATAATTGGGATGCATGTAGCTTGTTGATAAAAGAGAAAGCTTTAAAAATGTGAGTTTTGGAAATTTTGTAAAGAAGCACTGATGCCGAATCACTGAAACAACTTTAGTTATGATTAATATAACTTAGATAAACTATGCAAGCACAGTGCCGTTGAGTGTAATGTAAAACACCAATTGCACACTTGCTAAAATGTGAATAAATATAAAGAAATTAAACAAAAAACAACCAACAAAACAAAACTAGATTCCAAAACTATCATTGTCGGTTCATTTCATGTACCTCTTTCTTATTAGTTTACTTTTGTCTATACTACAAACTTGAGTTTCCTGACTTACGACATGAGAGCAAAGTAAATGTCATTTGCGATGAAATTCAGCTTCATTCGGCTTCTTTTTATGTTTACTATTCTAATAAACTTGTCGGTCAAATTGTTAATATTAACAGCCTATAGACCTTTGGATCCGTTAGATGTAGAAAACAGTCGCATGCTGTGTTTGATTTTACTCGTACAGCACGTACCAAAGCGCTACATAAGTGGAATCCAGGGACTGCAAATAACTGAACTCAACATCATGTGACATGGTCCGTGTTGATACAGAGGGGCGTATACATACAGTAGATCGCCATCTTTGTTCATTTCTACCATTTCCGTAAGTGACATCAGAATGGGAAGATAGCAGTGGCTCATCTCATGTGTACCTGAAGGTAAGATTTTTATATAGTGGGTCTACCTGTAAGTCTGTCTGTACAACTGATATAAATCAACAGCATCACATTATCTCATATGAAGTACATGTACATGTAAACTCTGTATTTGCCAATTACAAGTGTATACGTATTAACTGGAAATTCAGGTGGATCAATCAAACCTGTTAGAATACAGACATGTGGAATACATGAATCTCTTTGTATTCACGACAGAAATAAGTGACAGGCATTGTTTGTACTTAGATGCAGTCTTACAAAATGCATGTTAGAGCTTTTCAAGCAGAAGATTCGGCAAAGGCGTTGCTTAGTGAATCACAAAATAATAATAAAATACCCCCCCCCCCCAAAAAACACCAACTATGTGAAGGTATAAGTTTATTTTTTGAGGAAATTAGTGCACTTTTCTTAAAGAAGGTGAACTTTTTAAATAAGTCTACATTTTGAAATCTAGGCCAGTTTAAGTACTTAAATATATATATTTTTGGGCACAGACAATATTTGGTTGCAGACTCCTGTCCACCTCCACTCGAACCACCCAGCTGACCCAGGCAAGCTCAGAGGTTGAGTGATAAGACGTCTGCACTAAACAGGAGGTACTGGGTTGGAGTCCCACCTGAGTATTAAACAGTAAGACTGACCTTTTGTATACATGAGCAATTTTACATCATCGGTTACCCCCCCCCCCCCCCATATTTGTAAAGAGGGCCTTTTTTTGGAAACAAGGCCCTTTTTTAAAATTAAAATCAGTGCATTTTTGGTTACCAGCGGCCATTTACGAGTGCCCTTTTTAAAAATTCCGCGCAACCGTCAGCAATTGTTTGTCATTGAAAACTGTTTTACTTGTGACCTACCTTTGTTTGACTTGTAATGAACTTCATAACAACTTACTTGAGATGCAGAAAATGTCCTATAACAGCTGAAAAGAATTCTTTAATATTGCATTTTTCAGGATAAAATGTGCTCTTATATTAACAAGGTAACCCTATTATACATTTGTTGTAACTAATTGCCATTTTCTTTTGGAAACCTAACATCAGGTTTAAATCAAGCATATAGTATGTGAATAAACCTTTAATTTTATGAACACTCTACTTGACAAAAAGTTTTCAACTATAGGCTATGGCTCTAAACTTATTTCAACCAAATTATCATTTGAAGTTGAAATACGTGTTATTCCAAAACCTTTTACTTAATGTGCTTCATTTTCAGGTTAAAGGTCCATCCTATCGCTCCAAGCCCTACAGTGAAGATGGCATCTAATGTTACAGTGCAATCAGTGTTGGAGAAGATTAGTGTGGATCATCTGGAATGCTCCATCTGCACCAACCGTTTCAGGCAGCCCAAACTGCTGGACTGTTTGCATAGTTTTTGCCTGCAATGCCTCCAAGAGCTCAGACAGAGCCAAGATCCTAGTGGTACAAAACTGACATGTCCTCTGTGCAGATGTGAAACCACGTTGAAAGGGTCTGGGGTTGCTGATCTCCCTAATAACTTTGCATTCAGTGCCCTGGTGGAGGAAGTTACAATGCAGGAAAAACTACTGGAAGGTCAAGGGTCAGACATCAAATGTCAAGCCTGTGATGAGGAGAATCAGGCTATTTCAAGATGCATGGACTGTGATCATTTCCTCTGTCAAGAATGTCAAAAGGCACATAAACGTATGACTGCCATGAAATCTCATAAAATCTATACACTGGCTCAACTTCAATCAGGAAAAATTGTCTATAAAAGTAAACTAAGAGATGAAGTTCCGAAATGTTGTAAGCATCCAGATCAGAATCTCAATGTCTACTGCAACTCATGTGAGCAAGTCATATGCACAACTTGCTCTGTACTTGATCATGCAAAACACTCACTCACTGGATTACCTGAGGCCGCAGAGAAATGTAAGAAAAAGATCACAGAAATGGTCCAAAAAGGTGAGAGCAGAAAAACAGAAATGAGCACCACCATAGAAGAGACGTCCAAATCTCGCAAGGAGCTGGACACCATGTTTGCCAACGCTCAAAAGAAAGTCTCCAAAAAGGCTCACAAGGAGATTACAAAGATCCAACAGGAGGTTGCAAAGATCCAACTGGGGATTCCAAAAATCCAAAAGGAAGAACAGAAATTAAAGCAAGAGATGGACTGGATTTATCAACACAGAGTCAGAACATTTGAAGCTGCTCAAGCTACGAACAGGAAAGAAGTGACACAGACAAAGCACAAGCTGGAGGAGGTCAAACAACTCATGAATCAAGCAAGTTGCTATAAGATTCTTGAACTTCAGCAGAAGCTCTTGCATAACCTCAGTGAATTGACAAGAACACAGCCACAACAAGTTCCTGAAAAGTTGACCTTCATGGACTTTGAAGAAGGTGAGAGGTCACTTGGGAAACTTATTCTGGAGGAAGAGCCAAATGCTGCAGCAAAGCAATCACCAAGACCTGGAAGATCATGTGTAGAGAAGAAATGGGAACCTAAGACTGAAGTCAAGAACTTTGAAATAACCGATACAACTACATGTGTTTCAAATGCTGCAGCATGCTCTGACAATAAAATACTTGCACTAACTACTGGAATTATTTTTGCAAAAAGGAATAAACTATTCACAGTTTCACTTCCCAAAAGCCAACATGCACCGACTCCTGTCCCACAAAGGCTACAAATCAATGGCCTCACTGATGATGTAAGGTGTATTGCAGTGAGCAAGGATGACAAGCTCCTTGCTCTAGATATTCCAGTAGTCAAGGTCTTCAACAAGCAACATCAGCTCCTCCATCAGTTCACACCAGGTAGATGGTCAGACAGCCAACCAACATGCCTTGCAGTGGATGACAGCAATCTGATAGCAGTGGGTTACAGAGGCGAGAAGGAGATATCTCTACACAACCCAGATGGATCCCTCATCAGGAGACTGCCTGCTCCAATGATTGGATATTATCTAAAAATGCACACTCACCACCTTATCTACACAAACTATGACAACCAAAGGTTGGTATGTGTAGACTACTATGGTGCCAGTGTATTCTCAGTAGACATGACCAGCAACATGCAGGGGGATGGGCAACCTACTGGTGTGTGCTGTGACAGTGATGGCAGCATCTTTGTTGCTGTGTGCAGATGTCTAACAGGTGATATTCTGCATTACAGTCCTGATGGCAAGTACATTGGATGTGTGATCCAGGGATGTGGTCTTCCACGTGGCATCACATTCACATCGGATGGTGATCTGGTAGTGGCTGCAGGACTGTCTGTAAAGGTCTATCACCGAGTGTAAGGACAGATTAATTAAACTGGGGCTATCCAGTGTATCCACCAACCACTTCCATCAGACATTGATCATTGTTATCACTGACAAAGAACTTTAAAGTTCATTCCCTTAAACAACATCCTACAATACTGTATATTTGGTTAATTTCTAAAGTCTTTGGTCTCTGTATGTGCTGACTCTAATACTTTAACCACTTCCCCTTTGGAAAACCTTGGATTCAACACCCAGCCTACTTCCTATAAAATCCTACATCAGGTGCTCCAATAATGAGAGGAAAAAAAGACCCTTCACATTGTTTGCGAATAGGGCTTAGTGCACATTTTAAAAAATATTACAAACAAGAGGCGAAGTATTACCACAAGAGGGCAATTCAATCTTTTCAGATTTGTCTCAGCAAATGCAAAGTCAATGCATGATGTGCTTTCCAAGTATAAGATATAACCCTGCTCCTGTATGAAATGTCAATATTTCCTTAAATTTTGTTATTCGAGTTTCTTAATTTTTTGGAAAATTGTTGAGTTCAAAAAAATTCAACTTATTTTTGAATGAGAAAGATTTTGCACCTCCGTGAACACGAGACAAATGTAAATACTCAAAAGCAACTGGATAAATGCAAGAGTTTAAAAGTAAATCATATGCAATCCCTTGGTTGTCTCTTTCACAGTACCTTCTGAGTGCCTCATCAAATTAATATTAGTTACATTACATTTACAACCAAGTTGAAAATGAAAACCTTGTGTATTCTACTGCAAATGATACATGGATGTATGTAAATGTGAATAATATAATGGACGTACATTTTTGTACTGAAATCCTGGTTGTTTGCATGGGCGTTGCGAGGGGGGGGGGCAAGGGGGGGGGGCACTTGGCCCCCCCCCCCCCCCGGAAAAGCGAAGAAAAAAAAAGGAAGAAAAAGAAAAAAAGAAAAAGAAAAGAAAAAGAGGTGCGGAGACAAAGTGGTGTAAATTTAATGAGTTGGGGGAGGGGGGGCAAAATGTCCCTGCCCCCCTCTAAAACTGATAAATCGAGAATGTGTTGAGAAATACAGGCATTTTTTGGCCCAAAAATTGTTTGCCCCCCTCTAGAAAAAATCCTGGCGACGCCCATGGTTGTTTGCTTTTCTTAATTAAATTTTTGTAAAATACTGCAATAGAAGATGTACATAACATGAATTTGGGGTTCACTTTTTCCTGTCCCTTTACGTCTTGCATCTATGATTTTGTAATAGAAGATGCACTCCTTTATGTGTGTACTCTTCCTCCAAGAATGCTTCTGTGAATCAAATGACCTACCCAACAAATATTAATTAGTTTGAAGTCATTTTTGATGCCACTTGAATGGCAAATTATACATTCAGAGGTCACAGGGACAGGAACAATGTCTGACTTTGGACCCTAAATGTATAGAATGACTGACTTGTGAGAGGTTCTGTATGATTACAATAATAGTTTAGTTTATTCCATAAATGATTAAGGCTTTTGCTTCTTTGAATAAGTATTGGTTTGCTACATGCTGATAGACCAAGTAGTCTAAATGAAGCAATGAGCATTTGCTTTAATTAGAGAATATCTCTCCAAGATAACACAGCTTCAATGACAACAATGTCATTTTAGCAAAGAACCAAAGTCTGTTATTTTACCAATCAGCATCTCACATACGTTTGAGCCGCATTTTCCACTGGGCATGTTACAACTCTGCTCCTAGTGTTATTTGCATACATAATGAGGGCTGCCTGTTTTACACCAATGATGCAACTCAAAAAGATATATTTGTATTTTATCATTTATAGATCACTTAATTTGGAAGCCGTTGTTATTGTATCACTAGTTAGTTCATTTACTGTATATTTTGTCGAAGACATTTTAAAAAACGTTTTCTGAGAACATAGCAACAATGATTTCATGAAACAACCGTCTTTTCTCAGTTTTCGTTTTTTACATTTAGGACCATTTTGTTTTTGACAAAAAAATATAACATCAGTGGTTTCCCCAACATTTATACTTGTACATATTGGTAGAGGGGATTATCAAGTAATCAGATTTGTGAACACATTTTCTCTTGATTTTTTTTATCTCCTGATTGACTGCATTTGAATATTGTCAACATGCTTTCAAAATATATTGAGTACGTAACTATGATCTTAGAAAATTAGTCAGGTTTGTTGAGGTCTGGTACAGTGTGTCATGAGCAATAAAGAAACCCACTAAAAAATACTGTTTAGTCAGCTTTTATTTTTAGTCAGCTTTTTATTTTTATCAAAATAAAAAAATGTAGCCAAAAGAAATCTATTGTTCGTTAAAGATTACCTCGTGGGGTTTTACGTTAAATATTTTATTGCCCTGTGTAAAGTTCAAATGTAATGAACAAGACAAACTTGGAATTTTTTTTGGTACTTTAGCAACCGCTTGTGACAAGGGAAAAACCACCACTTGGAATTTTTTACCCAAAGTGAATTGCTAACATTAGCATTTGTAGGGCATGCTAAATACAAACAAAATGTTTAAAGTAAATATTTCTTTACATTACGAACGTAAAACAGTTGACAAGACACCTGACATCTAACAAGAGGAAGCCCCTGGATGCCAGGGCCGACATAGTATGGTTGCTGAGGGTGCAGTCAAGTTCCCGCTGCAACTATAGATAAATCATGAATATCACACACTCTATGTGAGTGTGAAATGTACGTGATCTGGAACTTTCTAAAGGTACCAGCAGCGATACTAGGGTTAAGCTTCTAGGGGGCACCTGGGGGTTCACCAATTTTTTGGGGGGCACTGAAGGTAACTAGTTTGTTGTTTGCAATTCAAGATTTCAATGGGGGGGGGGGAGACACATGCCCCATAGTTACACCTTTAAAAGGTACACAGAAATATGGAATTCAAACATCATATCAGCTTTAACAGTCCCTTACATATTTACAATTAAAACTAGTTACGAACCAATAAAGGTTTGAATGGTATCAACCCCATTTAATTGCCTAATGTTGCAGTCCACTCTTTTCTTAATAAATTGAAATGCAAAATGGTTTAGTAGGAATGAAGCCTTAACACTAGTCTGAGTATCACCCGTTGTGTCACCCTCTCTGTCTCTGGCCCAACGTCTGATATATCTACGCATGCAAATTAATGCGACCCCGCGCGCCAGCCATGAGTCGACATGACATCATTTCATTCTCAAATCTGGACGTAGCTGTTCATTGGTCAATTTTGATGCCATATTTTTGTAATACAGCAACGGACATAGAGATCCAATAAAACCCGACATTGGGTTTTAATACTGTTAACATGCACAAGTGGGCATTCACATTACGCAAGTTATTTCAAATATTATGTGATGATCATTCGAAGTCACAGAACGTTTTGACAAAGGCTGTTTTTTTTTAACACAATTTATAACATAAAAGTATAGTCGTGTTATTAGATGTACATGACAAAACCAAAGACCCGATATAGAAGGTACCCACTGATGAATGGTCAGAATCTCGAGGTCAAGATGCAGTCTTGTTTTGCATAATAATCACCAAATCTCTCTTGCTGTGCAAGGAGATATTACATAAACTACCTTAGCACCTATTAATCCTACAATTTAGAACAATTCACAATGCAGTGTGAGTGTGCCGACAGGTGTTTGCCTCAAGAGGCCACTTTCCAACTTAACAGTCTTTTGAAAAGTATACTAACTTCTACAAATGAACTTACCTGTACATGGAAGTACATTGGGGAATCTGTTCTTGTTTTTGCAGACAGGTTTCTTGGCTTCCTCACAGTTGACTGCCACTGACAATTCATTTAGCACCTGAAGTTTAAAGTAAAGAAATTGACAACACGTTACAATACTTGTCTTTTTAGCTCGGACTTCAATTACAATTGACAATTGTTGACTAATGTGACGTGGGAGCAGTGGTGTATGCAGAGGGGAGGGGGCAGTGGAGGGGAGGGGAGGGGGCAGTGGAGGGGAGGGGAGGGGGACACCTTGTCCCCAACCCCCAGCAGATTTTTTGAAAAATATTTTTTAGTAACTATTTCCATAAATGGTTAGAGGGCTCTGACACGAAAAACAAAAAGAAACCAAGCTCAGAAACCATTACAATGAGCCGTGAAAATCGACATTATTTTCCAGTATGCATAATAATGATCAGTTTTGAAGAGCCCCCCTATTTGGAAAATGGGTACCAGCCCCCCCCCCCCCCCCCCCCCCCTTTTTGGATTTTACGGAGGCCAAGTGTTCGGGGATGTCTGAGTGCGGTTGCCCCCTGACATCAAAAGCTGGATATGCCACTGTGTGGGATATGACGTTTTTAACACCCAAGGGCTGCATTTGGCCTCGGGTGCTATGTACATATATGGCCAACACATTACACACTGGGGCACAGGCTGCATTTTACAGTCCATGTCCAGTACACACATCACCCATAATGAACTCACTTTCGATGCGAGAAACCTTTAAAAGGATTATTATGTTTTTGTTTTCTTTGCAAGGTTGACATCAAAAGAAACAATGCTTCTTTGGGAAAATCTGTTACTTTAAAAGCATTTTTTTTTTAAACTTAACTAAAGTCATCACAAATATCTCATACTGCGATCCCATATCAAATGTCTGCATTGTAATTGTTCATGCACAGTATAGACACTGTTCACAGTCTTCAAATAATCATGAAAATTCCTTTAGAAATGTGAAAAGGAATATTATGAGTAAAAGATACCATATACAATGCTGTATTTGGGTTTAAAGATTTCCAAATGGAACTGACAGGAATAACCAACTTATAATGTTCTATATGTTGTACTGTAATCTAGTGAGTGTCATGCATACATTGGCATATATTCCCTTTGCTACAGATATTTCATACAAATGTACAAACATGTACATGTAGGCCTACAGTTCAACATATTACATATGGGTTAAATTCACATTTCCGCTTCAGTGTAACACAGTGACTGGAACAGGCCTTTGGTAAATCTATTGTACAAGAAACTGGGCCTTCAAAGGTGTTCACAAAATAACAAGACCTGTTGACTTGGCAATACAAGTTCAACTGTGTGACCTGTGATCCATTGCAGTCTGGTGTATTTATAGAATTGGGAATTTACAGGCAGTGGCAATGCCACACCCTACAGACATTCAAGTCAATCCAGAGAGTGAGAATCCACCAAATAGTCCACCAGTTTCTTCATGAAACTGCCAAATCGCTTGCAGAAATATCTTCTGACATCATTCAGGTATGTTTAGTTGAGAATACAAATGTAACCACAATTGGCATAGGAATCTGTGCAGACATTTGACTAGCAATTTGTACTTCAGTTTCCTTCTCTGATGCACCATGATCAGTGTGTTTAACCAGTCTGAAGAAAATCATGACTTCACCAAATGGGGAAAAATGAGTTAATGCATTCTATCAACTATCATTGGACTAAACGTTTTTGGGTGTTTTTTTTTTCATGTATTAGAAAAGCTACAAGGCCACACTCTTTTTCTTTTCTGCTGACTTTTTTATTTTGTAGGCCAAATTGAAAAAGATAAATTGAAATGTTTAGCCACTTTTTAATTTTATATTTTCTCCGTACTTGTGATTATTGCAGTGGCAGTGTTGGAACAAATAAAAACATGAAATTTACCGTATCACAACACAGCCAGAGAAGTGTCAGTTTCTCTGGCCACACATCGTCTGGGTTTTGTTGAGATACGGCAAACGCATGGGCAATGCCCATGGCTAGCAATATGGTACGAAACTTTGCTTACACGAATGTTTACGTGAATGCAACTTCATAAAAAGTATAAAAATACTTTGGTGAAGGGCAAAACCAAATATTGAATATTGAAAAAGTATATTGACTGAATGGTTAGTGGCAGCGCGCTTGTCCCTTGGTGTAGAGCATATTGTGCATTCAGCCTGCTCATGACCTGGCAACTTTTGCCTAATTTTTCCTCTTTATTTTTTTTACTGCATTTTTTTAATATGAGAAAGGAACACCATGCAATAATAAACTTTTTCTTTGTACACATTTGTACCTTTGGAGGATTTTTAGGGGAAAGTAATATCAAATTTCAGTTCCTTTAGATTTTGCTTTTTTTTGGTTTACAGGTGCACCCATTTATGTTTTAGAAATCGAACAGTGCGTCCGTAAAACAAAATGTACAATAAAAAAAAGAAAAAAGAAAAGAATCAGACCCATTTGACCAAACCACAGAAGAACTAATGATTCATGATTTAAGATGCAGGTCACCTTGTTCTTCTAATTAACAGGTCCAAGAATATTAACAATACATGCTGAACTGAAGGACCAAGATGGCATCTAATGTTACAGCTCAATCAGTGTTGGAGAAGATTAATGTGGATCATCTGGAATGCTCCATCTGCACCAACCGTTTCAGGCAGCCCAAACTGCTGGACTGTTTGCATAGTTTTTGCCTGCAATGCCTCCAAGAACTCAGACAGAGCCAAGATCCTAGTGGTACAAAGCTGACATGTCCTCTGTGCAGACGTGACACCATGTTGGAAGGGTCTGGGGTTGCTGATCTCCCTAATAACTTTGCATTCAGTGCCCTGGTGGAGGAAGTTACAATGCAGGAAAAGCTACTGGAAGGTCAAGGGTCAGAGATCAAATGTCAAAACTGTGATGAGGAGGATCAGGCTATTTCAAGATGCATGGACTGTGATCATTTCCTCTGTCAAGAATGTCAAAAAGCTCATAAACGTATGACTGTCATGAAATCTCATAAAATTTACACACTGGCTCAACTTCGATCAGGAGAGATTGTCTACAAGAGTAAACTAAGGGAAGAAGTTCCCAAATGTGGCAAGCATCCAGATCAGAATCTCAATGTCTACTGCAACTCATGTGAGCAAGTCATATGTACAACATGCTCTTTACTTAATCATGCAAAACACTCACTCACTGGATTACCTGAGGCAGTAGAGAAATGTAAGAAGAAGGTCACAGAAATGGTCCAAAAAAGTGAGAGCAGAAAAACAGAAATGAGCACCACCATAGAAGAGACGTGCAAATCTCGAAAAGAGCTGGACATCATGTTTGCCAACACTCAAAAGAAAATCTCAAAAAAGGCTCAACAGGAGCTAACAAAGCTCCAAAAGGAAGTTGCAAAGATACAAAAGGAGATTGTAAAGATCCAAAATGAAGAACAGAAGTTGATGAACGAGATGGACAGGATTTATCAAGACAGAGTCAGAACATTTGAAGTTGCTCAAGCTAACAGCAGGAAAGAGGTGACACAGACAGAGCACAAGCTGGAGGACGTCAAACAACTCATGAATCAAGCAAGTTGCTATGAGATTCTCAAACTTCAGCAGAAGCTCTTGCATAACCTCAGTGAACTGACTGGGAAACAGCGACAGCAAGTTCCTGACAAGTTGACCTTCATGGACTTTGAAGAAGGTGAGAGGTCGCTTGGGAGACTCATTCTGAAAGAAGAGCCAAAGGCTGCAGCAAAGCAATCACCAAGACCTAGAAGATCATGCATGAAATATAAACGGGAATTGAAGACTGAAGAACAGTCAAGGGGTGCTGCAAAGCAATCACCAAGACCTGGAAAATCATATGTGATCGAGAAATGGGAACTAAAGACTGAAGTCAAGAACTTTGGATTAAAACTTACATTTATATCACTTGTTGCAGCACTCTCTCACAATCAAATACTTGTATTAGACAATTTGGTGAATGCATTACTCACACTTTCACTGACCAATAGTCAATGTGCAACATCTCCTATCCCACAAAGGCTACAAATCAATGGCCTCACTAATGTTAGGTGTATTGCAGTGAGCAAGGATAAGCTCCTTGTCGTAGATGGTCCAAAAGTCAAGGTCTTCAACAAGCAACATCAGCTCCTCAACCAGTTCACACCAAGCAGATGGTCAAAAAGCCAACAAACATGCCTTGCAGTGGACGAGAACAATCTGATAGCAATGGGTTATGATGGCAAGAATGAGATATCTCTACACAACCCAGATGGATCCCTCACCAGGAGACTGCCAGCTCCATTCATTGGATGTTATCTGACAATGTACAATCACCGCATAATCTACACATCAGACGTGACCAAAAGGTTGGTATGTGTAGACTACTATGGTGCCAGTGTATTCTCAGTAGACATGACCAGCAACATGCAGAGGGATGGGTTGCCCTCTGGTGTGTGCTGTGACAGTAATGGCAGCATCTATGTTGCTGTGTATGGACATCCAACAGGTGATATTCTGCATTACAGTCCTGATGGCAAGTACATTGGATGTGTGATCAAGAGATGTGATTCTCCACGGGGCATCACATTCACATCGGATGGTGATCTGGTTGTGGCTGCCGAAAAGTCTGTAAAATTCTATCACCGAGTGTGAGGGCTATATGATTATACCGCTGGACTATATGAACATTCCCTTCGAAAACAAACAAAAAACCAAACACATGTACATTTCTTTCAAAACAACTCTCAGCAATCATCCAAAATATCTGATGCTGATTTTCACATCAAAAATAGAACTCTACTATATGGGGAAATAGACAGCGTCTTAATATTCATGGAAGCAAATGGGATAATCTGTTTTGTCTCAGTACAACACAACATTATATGAAATACCCTATGTACAGTGGCGGTGCTACAGGCGGGCAAGGGGGAAAAGAGAAAAGAGATGAAAAAAATATGTTAAAAGAAAAGGAAAAAGAAAAGAGACTAGAAGTTGAAATGGAACTGCAGATTGAATAGGTATATTTTAGACTGGAAACCGTCCGAAATGGCCCTAAATGCAGCTATATGTAAATATGAGTGGTTTTGACCAGTGCCCCCCAAGCGTCAAATGGTGTAACGCTCCCCCTCCCTGCTAATTTTAAACGGGCATTGCTTTTTAAATTTTGCCCCCACCCCAAACAAATTCCTTTCTTTGCCCCTCACTTTGCCCCGATAGTCTGGTGCCTCTACTGTGTACATGTATGTACAAGTTGAACATAACTTCATATTTTTAAATGTAAATAATCTCCTGAAAACCACTGAAAGAAAAATCACACTTTTTCCCCGCAATAATCACTTGGAAAGTTTTACAACAAAAAAGGCAATCAACATATAATATTCTCAGAAAGTTGAACATAACTTCATATTTTTAAATGTAAAGAATCTCCTGAAAACCACTGAAAGAAAAATCACACTTTTTCCCCGCAATAATCACTTGGAAAGTTTTACAACAAAAAAGGTAATCAACATCTCACCTTTGGTGTCAAAATAAATTGAATTAATACCTCGCTATATTTAATTGGTCTAACACACCTCTGCTTCTTCTCAGAACTCACTCACTTTCTAGAGACAGTCAATTCACATGGTGTATCTGCAAACTTGTAAGTTGAACCTCCACCATGCAAGTCTCAAATGCACCTACAAGTATGTTTAACATGTTTAATAGGGGTGAGTGCACCACCAAGTGTCTGACTATGGAGAGGTCACTGTTTACGACTGCATTTCTTTCAGCTGACATACCATTTGCATTGAGCAATTATGTGTTATCATCCTCTTTTGATTTATTTTTTACATGAATCCATTTTGAAAACTTTGTAGCTCATCATCATTTCAACAACAAACTCTAAATACCCTCCCAAACTGAATAGATATTTCTGTAAGTGTTTGTTGAAAGTTATTTTTAACTGCAAAGCAGTGGTCTCTCATTACAATTCTTGACAATTTAACATTTGGTCATTAAAACGTAGTAGATATGCAGACATATGATTTAGCAACACTTGGAGATTGTAAACTTTCTTGGGTCTCTTCTTCAACTCTGTACACTGATTTTTATTTTGATACCTAATTCTTGATTTTCATTGCATGATCATTGTTCAACAATGACTACAGTTTATGCACATGTATAGTTGTTTACTGTGGTATATAAGGCACCCCCAAGGTACTCATTTCATTCTTATTTTCACATATTATGAAAGAAAGAGTAGCATGTTTTGAAGTTAGGGGCAATTCCATACCATTACTAAAAGTGGCAAATTTATGAAATCTTCAAAACAAGAATCACAATCTTAAATGTGGTACCGTATCAAATTTTGAGTGGTGTGCCAGTGAGATAAAATGTGGTGAATTAAAAAACAAACAAAAACAACAACATGTTTTGGGGCTTAATTCATAGTTGTTTTTGGTAGTCATGTGTTTGAAGTCGATTTCATACACGCAATGTCCGTACCTTTTTAATGTAATGTCTGTAACAACAAAAGCATGTTTTTTATAATATCAAAGTTCCATTTTGTAAAATGTCATTGGTATTTTTATAAAGTGAACCTATATCAAACATAACATGGTTATTTTATTAAATTCTTGCAAGAAACTTCACAGACTTTTGTCAATGCATTTTGAAAATCAAACATCTGTGTCTTAAAGCGTAACATTTGTAATGGTTGTTTACAGCGCTTATATGCATATCTTATTAATGAATTCAGCTCACATTACATTATTTACATATCATGTTGTACATTATTAAGGCCTAAGCTAGAGTTGTACCAAATTATATAGAATTTGCTTTCGCTGCAAGTATTTTACTTTATTGTTTCAAATTGGTTTTAGGCTCTGAATGTAAATTCCGTAACGATGGAATTGCCAACAGTCACTTTTGTTTGTGATACACTCTTCATTGGCAGTGCCTTGTGCAGTACACATCTGTGCTTGGGTATAATTGTAATGTACATTTCCTTACATTATATTTTCACCTTTGTATTTTTCTGTGTTGACAAAATGGGAGCTTGGGCCTACAGTTATAGGGCAACTAAATTTTTACTTCACTGGGCAAATGGATCAGAATTTAGTTCTTAATTTACAAAAATCAAATAGTCTCAGCAGAAAAAGATATATACAAAAGGTATGATTTTTTTATGAAAAAAAATTTGAAACAAAATGTTCAGTTTTGGGTTCTGTCATTTTCAGTGAATTCAACTACATTACAACCATGTTGAAAGATCTCCTTGTAGTTTCATGGTTGGCTTTGCTTTTATGTTTTCCTAATATTGTAAACACATATTGTGAAATGGAAAGTGGCCCTATAGTCACTGATTGGGCAAATTCTACTCAGATTTTAATCTGAAGCCTGATTTTCCTTGGGTATTTTCTTGGAGACATTTAATCTCTTTGCATTTGAAAAGTTTAATTAAATCAAACTTTGAAAACAAGAATCATTCCAACACCCTGTAGTCCAACCTGAGTCATTTCTTTTGCTCTTCTATCAATTGGGTGCTTGTCTTTTTTGTGTAAAGGGAAACCAGGAAATATCTTGAGTGTAATAAATTAATGTGTTTTCACCCAATTCATTTTAGAATAAATTTTCAACATGTATGTTCTAATGTTTAGGAAATATTTCCATTTTGGGGCAGTTGCAACCTTTAAAAGGCTGTTATTTTGGATTACTTATGTGCACACACATATGCATAATGCAAGGAGACACATTCCCGGCATTTACATTATTGATCTTGATTAGGGGCAGCTAGGAAGCAATTAAACATGTGAGTAAATTATTGTCTGAGGGCAAATAATTCAAAATTTTGGGGTAATTTTTCATTGACTGAACGTTGGGGGGGGGCAATTTTCTCAATTTGATGTATCATTCAGAAGTGAGTAATATCTATACTGCTAGAAAACCTTTGTTTTGAAAGTAAAACTCTAAAAAAAACAAAAAAAACCACAAATGTAATCATGCATTTCGCAAGACAAATTTCAGACCGTAAGCCAACAAATGAACCAAAGGTATTTTGAAAAAAGTTCTTATTGTTATAAAGAACCGTACTCTGTCCAATCTGTACTTCTGTTTCATAGAAATATTGGGTTTTGTTTTTGAATTTCCCACTAGAAATGTGATATTATAAAGAAATGTTCAAATGAAAATATCCCCATCAGCCTTAATATACCAACAGTAATCTTATTTGAGAGATTCTTACCCTGGGCATTCAAGATAATTATATTTTTTTTCTGCTGACAAATTTCCAATTTTGTGTATTGTATTGATAAGCATAAATTAAGTCAACAGGCAAAAGCAGACAAGTGTCATGCACAGCTGGCTTTATATTGATCACCTACAGTGAAAGCATATAGCTGCATCAAGTAACATCAACAGTCACGACCAGTGAATCCTGCTTTATGTAGGCAGGGAGAACTCAACCGTTAATGACAGTCACTTGACTGATTTTGACTGAAAGGACAACTTTGAACACAATGTATGCTTGCATTCAGGAGGGTTTATAATAAGTTATGTTCCAAAACTAGATGAGCCAATTTTTTTTGGTGGGGGAAGGAGGGGGGGGGGGGGGCGAGGGCGGGGCGTAGTGATTTATTCAAGAGTAGGCACACAGATTGCTGAAATTACAACAAAAATCTTCTTCAGGCTGAAATTTGTTAATCACCAGGCCTACTGACACCAAAAATAACATGGCAACTTCTGATTCCATTTTTGTGGAGGCACTAGTTTCATGGAAATACTGACTGCCATTTATGCACAGGAAACCTGCATTGATCTGTGCATAAATTACTGTACAGTACATGTACATACATGGACTCCAACAGCTTCAACAAATAGAACTGGGAAGTTATGCAAATATTTCAACATTCACATACATGTACTGTGCGTGTACATCAAACAGTGTAAACTGCAGACACTGTGCCATCTTTCAGAAGGATAATTTCAAAATTTCCTTGTACAATTACAAAATAACTTCAATTCAGGTAAGTGTGCTTTTTGTTGTACACGTATTTAATGGCATTTGTTTAGAATATAATGGAATAATATGCCAGTATGCGCAGCATTGGTCTTAGAGAGAGTAGTCAATGCTCGAATACAATTATTTGCCTGTTCAATATCCTTGATCTTTCATTGAAGCTCAACAGGTGCGGCTCTAGAGCCTATATTTTAGGGCGGCGTGACCGCCCCCCCATGAAACCTTGTCGCCCCCCAGTCGCCCCCCACCCCCACTGAGATTTTGAGTTTCTAAAAAAAGTATCATTGATCTACATGACGCCATGAGCCCTATTATGTACTACAATGTATCTTTTGCTTAGAAAATATTGGTTAAAGTGGTCAGAAATTGCCTCAGATAGCACCACAGAGCATTTAGAATCCAAAATTTGTTGGGGCCCTTAAGCGGGCCCCGAACCCCACGCCTATAGCTGAGAATTCTGGTAGCTGACTCAATGACTCCAACCTCGAAAACAATGTTCACAAAATTTTCTTATGCCTTTAGCTGAGAAAACCTCGAAAATTATGTTTAAATTATTATCTTTTGTGCTAAGATAATTATTGGTTAAAGTGGTAAGAAATTGCCTCAGATCACACCACAGAGCATCGAAAATCAAATTTTTTTCGGGGCCCTTAAG